GGGGACGTCGAACCCTATAATGGGGGGTGAAGGTGGGTTGCACCTGATCCTACATCGGCTGGGAAGGAGAACTAAGCATTCCTTATAAGGAGTGTGGATACCTTCCCTAACACAACGCGTTTTAAAGCCGTGAGGGCAGCAGATCCCATAAGAACTCTGCAGTTAAGCGTGCTCGGGCGGGAGTAGTACCGGGATGGGTGACCCCCTGGGAAGTCCTCGTGCCGAGTGGCCCAAAGCGGACAATATTGTGATACGTGCCAGAGGGGGGTGTTACAGAGATACTCACGACAAGCTTGAACCTCGAAGTGAGCGATGTATTTTCATCGGCTACCCGCAAACATCCTTTGGATATCTCTTCTATAGACCGAAAGATAATGTTATCTTTGTTGCGAGGAGAGGAGTTTTCCGAGAGCGAGAACTCATAAGCCAAGGAGACAGTGGGAGGCAAATCGAACTTGAAGAGATTCAAGAATCGATAAATGAAGGAACCTCTACCGCTGGCATTCAACCCGAGGAGGAAACTCCGGTTGAACCGATTGACGAATCCTTACCTCTTAGACGTTCCGATAGAGTTAGAGTTCAACCCCAGTTTTATGGTTTTCATATTACCACCGAAGGGGACACGTATATTAGTGATGGTACACTAGTAAATCTTGATGAACCTAATAGCTATAAGGAAGCCATGGCAGGCCCGGAGTCTGCGAAATGGAAAGAGGCGATGGATAGCGAGATCCAATCCATGTACGATAACCAAGTTTGGAATTTGGTTGATTACGTGCCCGAACGTAAGACCGTAGGGTGCAAGTGGATCTTCAAGAAGAAGACCGACGTGGATGGGAACGTACACACATACAAAGCGCGATTGGTTGCGAAGGGCTTTACTCAAACTCCCGGAGTTGACTATGATGAGACCTTCTCACCAGTTGCGAAGATTAAATCTATTAGAGTGATGCTAGCAATTGCCGCATTTCATGATTATGAGATTTGGCAAATGGATGTCAAGACCGCTTTCCTTAACGGAAAGTTGGCTGAGGATGTTTACATGGCTCAGCCAGAGGGGTTTGTGGATCCGAAGCATCCGAATAGAGTGTGTAAGCTTGAGAAGTCCATTTATGGACTTAAGCAAGCGTCTCGCAGATGGAATCTTTGCTTCGATGAGAAAGTCAAAGAGTTTGGATTTGTACGAAGCGAAGACGAATCTTGTGTATATGTCAAAGCCAGTGGGAGTATAGTAAGCTTCCTCGTTCTATATGTCGATGACATATTACTCATAGGAAACGACATCCCGACTCTGCAGGAGGTTAAGTCCTGGCTCGGGAAGTGCTTCGCTATGAAGGACCTCGGAGAGGCTTCTTACATTTTGGGAATAAGGATAGTAAGAGAAAGAAGTAAGAGACTAATTGGACTTAGTCAGAATACTTACTTGGAGAAGGTACTAAAACGTTTTAGTATGGAAAACTCAAAGAAGGGAGAACTACCGATACAAGGAAATGCCAAGTTGAGTAAGACTCAAAGTCCGAGTACCGAAGCTGAGATAGCAGAAATGAGCCGAGTACCATACGCTTCCGCAGTTGGCTCAATCATGTACGCTATGACTTGTACTCGCCCTGATGTAGCCTTCGCTTTGAGCATGGTTAGCAGATATCAAGGGAACCCTGGCAAAGCACATTGGATTGCGGTGAAGAACATCCTTAAGTACCTTCGGAGGACGAAAGAATGGTTCTTAGTCCTTGGAGGGAGTGATGACTTGAAGGTGCGAGGGTATAGTGACGCCAGCTTTCAGACCGACAGGGACAACTACCGTTCGCAGTCGGGCTGGGTCTTTACCCTAAATGGAGGAGCAGTGACATGGAAAAGTTCCAAGCAGGAAACCGTAGCTGATTCAACGTGCGAATCAGAGTACATCGCAGCGAGCGAAGCGTCGAAGGAGGCAATATGGCTGAAGAACTTCATCGGTGATCTTGGAGTTGTGCCGGCCATAAAGGAGCCCATGGAGATTTTCTGTGATAACGAAGGTGCGGTTGCCTTGACCAAGGAACCGAGGGATCATGGTAGATCTCGACATATCGACAGAAAATATCACTTCATTAGACATCGTGTAGAAGAAGGACAACTCGTAGTGAAGAGGATATCATCAGAAGATAACCCAGCAGATCCGCTTACGAAGGGACTGAGTAGGGTTAAGCACTTGCAGCATGCTAGGAGTATTGGGCTGAAGGATGATATTGGTATAGATTAGATAGTATTATAAACGTATAATAGATAAATGTAATTAACATTTGATGACTAAATAAAGGAGTTTTATTTATGAGTAAAGTTACTGTCACATGTTAGTTGTTTAACTATTGTTTCACTTTGCATGTTTTGACTTCCAGAATAATTGAGTTTATTAGGAATAATCGAATTATTCAAATGGTTCACAATCGTTCATATGTTGGGAGTAGATATGAATGAAGATTGTCATGAATTGGTGTGTAGAGTGTCTAAATGGTGTTAGACATAGCAAGGGTTGCTGCAACGTTCATGAGTGCTTATGAACTGGTTTTGAGCATTGGAATAAACCCGCGCTTGCTGGAATCACCTTATGGAATATGATATAAAAGGTGATCGCAAGACGATAATATCATATGGTCTTAAAACCTAGATATATGGTTTATTATTTGTTAATTGATTGTGCATTGATAATGCGAAAACGCATCAGTAACTTGATGTTATAAAACGCATTGTTGTGTATAGTTGGTTAATGAATAAGTAAATGCATATAAGTCGAAGTTTATCTGTAAATTTTATCCTAAGAGGATAGAAGAGATATCTTGGCCACTCGATGATTTGATTTGACTTATGTGCCGGGCCCGGTCAGAACTGAATTGATGTGTTCGATTAAGTTCTATGTCAAATAAATCGGAGATCGAGAAATCTAAATGCTAGACTAACCATTCCATAGGATTGTCAGCATGATATCTAACAGAGGACTGTACGATCCCTTATCTAAAGGACAAGATTGATTAGATCAGAGTTGGCAGCGTCTTTGAGAGCTACGATTGCAAACCGTATTGTATAGTTACTAGACTTATCCAAGTGGGAGACTGTTGGAATAGTGTCTAAGGTTATAACTATATTCGGTTGTGCATGGTCCTTTTGGGTTGCCTTCACCATAGCAACTTGAAGGATGATTTATTAAGAGAGAGTAAATATTATAAGGAATAATATTTAGCTATTTGATTAATATAAGTCATAAATTAATTGGTATTAATTTGGTGACTTAAAGAGATTAATTAAATAAGAGGGTATAAACTGTCAATTGTTTGATAGTTAGACTTTGGACTGTAAATCCATTAGGATATACTTTGGACGGATTCTAAGAGCTTTAGGATAGCTCAAATCGTCCATAGGGTTATCTATGGAATGGATTTGGATAGCCTTAAGAGAAGATTATCCAATTAGGGTTTAGGGTAAAACCCTTAAGGAGTCTACAAGTATAAATAGACCCTATGGGTGAGGGAATTCGACACACAACCTTAAGCAAGGAACCTCTGGCCGAATTCCTCCCCTCTCCTCTCTCCTAAATCATCTTGCTTGCTAGTGGTGTTTGTAAGCCATTAGAGGAGTGACAATTGTGACTCTAGAAGCTCCAAGACAAACAAGATCAACAAGGAATTCAAAGGTATGATTCTAGATCTGTTTCAATATTGTTGTTTAACCTAATTAGCCATTAGAAGTCTTGGATTCAAAAGCATGTTTATTAGAAAGCCTAGATCCAAGCATTAGGGTTTTGCATGCGCACATAGGAAAGTTCTTATGGCTAAAACCCATCAGTTTCAACTACTACAACATTATCCAAAGATAACGAGTTTATTTTACACTTAAATTTTGACACTTATTTTTATTCTTAATTAATCAAACCACATAATTAAGCAATGAAGCACAAAACATATAATACTCAAATAATACACTTCTATTATTTCAAAACGGGTTACAAAGGTTAACATAGACTATTATATCAACATTAATGACAGGCCCAGAAACACAAGCGTTACAATACGCCCTGCGTACCCTTACGTACGCGTGACGTACTCCTCCTAGTCCCAAAATTACAAACTAGCCCTTAGACTCTTCATGGCTTTACCCTTTCATCCCCATGGACTTCAAATGACAAAACTTGGGATGTTACAGATTTATATATTAACTTTTTTGATTTTGATTATGTTAAAATCATTGTATAAAGAATAACGAGAATAAATTGTTATTTAATATTAAATTTTCTATGTTTAAGGGTTCATATTAGATAAATTTAAATGTGTTAAGAAAATAAAAGTTTTATTAAGAATACTTGAAAAAAAAAATATAACATTAAATTTTGAAGTCCTTAAAATTTGAGATTTATATCAAATGAAATAAAAAATAAACAAAATACTTAGAAAACAACATGTAGTATCATTATATATAAAAATAGGTCATGTGTCAATCAAATAGTTTTTTTTATTATAATTATAAGCTTTTTAAACTAAAAGATAAATGTTACTCGACATAATTTTTAGATTATTAGTTTATTGTTAAATAAAAAAAATTAAGCTCAAAGTTTTTTTTTATTCGGGTTATAGAATATATCTATAGCATATTAAATAGCTTTATTAAAAAATAAAGTAAATTATATTTTGGGTCCCTAAATAATAGCATTTTTGCAACTTTAGTTTATTTTGATTTTGTCCCGTATTCCAAATAAAATGACTAATTTTTGCAAATTTGATCCTGATTTACTCATTTTACTTTAAACATATATCAAAACTGTAACAAAAGAGCTCAAGACAAAAATTACAAGAAAATTTTGATTTGAAACAGAACCAATAAAACTGAATGTAATTTACACTTGAAAGATTAGATTAGTTTTATACCACCATACTCTTTGTAATCATATTCAACAACCATGGATAAAGTACACGTTTAACTTCAAGAACCAAACACAATTAGTCAAAAGTCCAAAACTTTTTGGAACATAAACATAAATAAACAAATTCTCATTACCAAAATGTCATCAAATACAAAGTGTTATAACTTATGACACTTCACATTAAGCCACTAGAATGCTCTTCTTATTGGTGAAAAAAAAAATGGTGGAAAGGTCTCACTTCTCATTGTTTTTTACACATATATCGTCCAAGATAGGAAAATTACAAATGCAAATATGGACAGGTGGCAGATGATCATTCGTCTTCGTTGACCAGTAACGCGAATGAAAATGGAGCAAATTTGTAGCCATCTCCTTCATAAAACTTGTTTTGAAACTCCACCCAGTGAAGCCTTAACGCGTGTAGAAAGGCACTAAGTGTTTCCATCACCAACAACACCCCCACAGTTGCAAACACAAATACAATTATCCCCACACCAAGAATAATCACATTATTGTACCTATTTATAAATTCAAAAAAAAAAAAAAAACAATTAATTAATAATAATGTTTGTGTAGATATACATACATGAGACTGATGTTGATTAGAAAACTTACCCCCAAGCAAGAAGAAGAACCTTCTCGTAGAACACAGTGGATAATTCCGAATGCGCCAAGCTGAAATTACAAACAAGTTTCGTTATCAGACATAAAAAGTTGCAGAAATGGTCCCTGTGGTTTTGTCACAGTTGCAGTTACAGTCCAGCTTTTAAAAAGTTGATAGGTCCCTATGGTTTTGGTCGTCCCTGTTCTATGTGAAAAGACTATCTTGCCCTTTCTAATAATAATTTTATTTTTTTAAAAGAAAAGAGGATTAAAATTTACCTGAGTGCCCATAAACGAAGATAGGAAGCAGTATTTGAGACAGCTCCAAGTACAAACTCAATTGTATGAATAAGTTGATGAACAAACACCTCACTGAACTCAAATTCCTCTTCATGATCATGGGAGCCATGATGACCTCCCTCCACCAGTGACTCATCGGTCCCTTCAAGTGCCACGTAGGAATCACCTTGGTGTGTCTGGAAGTGGAACATTAATATGGTCTTTTAATATTTATTTAAAAAAAAAAAAAAAAAGAACATGACATACCCTGTTATGCTGTGCCTTTAAAATGAAAGGCTTGGGAAGCAGCATCCATGGGACAGCAATTAAGGATAGAAGTAGTAACACAAGCTGCCATTGTCAATGAAATCATTTCTATTAAACTTCAGTTGAATAAAGTTTATTTTTATAATAAATACTTAACATTTTTTGGTTTATTCATCAACTTAATTGATTTGGTTTTCTAGTTATAAATTAGTGTTGGGAGGAAGAGAATTGAACCTGAACGGTTTTCTGATTTGGGAAAAGCTGATTTTCAGCAAGGTCATCAGTGGGGCTAAGGAACATATATATCATTACATGATATAAATCAGCTTTTGAACCAGTGATCCACTTCAAAATAATAAGGAATGAAAGGTAGCCAAATAGACCGTTTAAAAATATCATCTGGGGTATAAATTGGAACCTGAACATTTTGCAACATATGATATAATTATTAATTAGTAAACATACATACATACGTAATAATTGAAATATGGTTAACAGAACTCACCAGACATTGACACTGTTCTTGAAGTAGATAGCATTGAAAAAGCTCAATACTATTCCAAGGTTCATTTGTGCAACACCAAGAAGAATTGACATTTTCATCTTTAAAGAATTGAGAAATGGTAATTCACTTCGACTTCCATGCCATACGGGGTCCACACCAAATGGGTATGTGTCACCCACCTTTATTAAACCTATAGTCGTAGCTTCACTGCATGCACCAAAAAAAAAAAAGATTAACAAGATAAAGAATAATTACATTTCTGGTCCCTGAGTATAGCTGCTTTTATCAATTTTGGTCACAAAAAGTTTTTCTTGTAATTTGGGTCCTTAATTGAGGTTTTTGTCCCTCCACTTCCATGTAAAATGGTTATTTTTTTTTATCCTAATTAATTTTTGTCCTTATTTCAGGTTCAATTAACGTTTTTCTTCCCTATTCCAAGTAAAATGGTCCCCAAGTATACCAGATATTTTCAATTTTGGTCCTTATTTGAGGTTCGTGTAGCATTTTTTGTCCTTGATCCAAGTAAAATGAGTATGACTACTTTTGGTCAGTAATGTATTACCACATTTTTACAATTTTTTTCCCAAAAAGTTTGTCTTGCAATTTTGGTCTTTTTATTTGAGGTTCTTGTAACGTTTTCCATTTCAATCCCAACTAGAATGACTACTTTGATCCCTCATTATAGCTGATTTTTGCAGTTTTGGTGCCAAAAGTATAGACATTTTACAACAAGGGACCAAAACATTTACAAAAATCTCAAATAAGGACCAAAAATGAAAAAACCATTCATACTTAGGGGCCAAAAATGCAATTTACTCAAAGATAACACAAACAAGGGGGTGGGGTGGGGTAAGTACCTGCAGGCATCATCACGACAGGCATAGGCTGATGGACTAAATAACTCAAAAGGAACCGAGAAAAACTCATTATATATCAAACCCGTGTAGATTGAAAACAAAGCCATCAAGAATATAACATATCGACCCCCAAAAGTCATTTCCATTATGTCTCCAAGTTTCTGTATTCATTTCACATAAATTATAAATTCAAAATCTATCTCTCATAAGATTAATTATGATATATATATATAAAAACTGGTTACTTACCTGACTCGAGTATTTCTTTTCCTTGAATATTAAAAATAAAGCTGCAATCAGGATGCATATGCCATGCCCCCAATCACCAAACATCACAGCAAAAAGAAATGGAAACGTGACAACAGTGTATACTCCAGGGTTTGCTTCTTGATACCTTGCAACACTGTAGCAACATGAAATTCATATAATAATAATTGGATTACATTTTTCAAATCACATTCCATTTACCCCTACAGAAATGCTTACCCATATGCATCAACAATTGTTTGAAAAGACTCGGTAAATTTATTTGTCCTGAAATAAGTTGGGGGCATTTCTTTCGTATGCAAAACTTGGAAAATCGCACCCACTTGTGACTTAGCATCAATTGTAGCCTGCTGGAGTGCTTCTTGAATCTGCAAAGACAAGGGGCAGAAATGTAATTTTATATATACATATATAGTAGTAAAGACTAGAGAGTGATATAAACCTGTTGGGTTGCAAATATGGGACTCCATCCTTCAGCAACAAGACACTTCTTTGTTACATCAAAACTAAGCATATTTAGCGTGTGATAAATAGATTTCTCCTTTCGAACCTTAAATTAGCAAACATAATGAATTCAATGTTAAAAATAAAACAAAGATATTATCTTTATAAATAAAAAGCAAAAAGCATTGCTTGCTATTTCCTGCAATTTTCTCTTTATTACACATACCAGGTCATTCCATTGTTCATATTGTTTTGCAATGGTTTCCAACAAATTAGTACGATGCACAAGTCCAGTATCTATTGTTGTCTTTAGTTCAGATAGCCTTCCGGATACCTGGAAAGTTACATTTTTATATAATCAGTGTCTTAATTTTATAAAACTCTATTTTATAAATATCAAGAATTCTGTGTACCTCAGTTATCATTTGTGCTTGTTTGCTCAAATCTTCTGGAAAAGGGTAACGATTTGCTCCAAAAGCTTCACATATCTTAAGAATCTTGCTCTTGGCTCTTTCGCCAGAAAAGAAAACCACAAAAACGCTTTTTTGAACCTGTAAAGCAGTAGTCATGTTTAATGCTGACATGGATGACAGGTATTAGCTGACATGGAAATTGAAACTAACCTTTTCTCCTGAACTAGGATCAGTAACAGCTTCATCAACAGAAGATTGCCTTAAAAAGACATTACCCCTTGTAGCACGAAACAGAATTCTTTCAAAAGCCATGGCTTTTTCTTTAGCCACAAGCCCAGTGATATACCCTAGTTTGACTTGCTTTCCTTGGTCAACTGTTGACTCCTATACATAAACATCAGAAAGAATCATGGAAAGAAGGGGAAAAAAGTTCAAATTTAAAAGCACAAACAGGTCAAAGAACACCTTATACTACTCAACTATCCTGATTTCAAGCCTTCACACTCTCATATCAGAAAGAATCATGTACATGTCAAACCTACACTCAGTAATGACTAATGAAATAAACTAATGATGTCATAACATGTACCTGATCAGTCAATAGAGGAGTTTCCAAAGATTCTTCAGCACCCTGATGTGATGAACCTTCTCCCTGATGTTCTGAAGCACTGCTTTGAGCCACTTTGAAAAACTCTCCAGCCTGTGAAACAGTTATTTACCATAAATGAAAAGAGTAAAAGGGTAGCCAATAAGTGTGGAAAAAGAACTGGCATAAGATATACCTTTTGCAGAACAAGCTTATATTCTACAAGCTCATTATAGCCACGCTGCAACTTTTCACTATTTGCATTGATTTCAACAAGCTCGGCTTCAAGATCTCCAAGATTCACCTAAAAGACCACAAGAGGAAGAAAAAAATTAAGTTTTTTAAAGATGGTATAAGTTTATGTATGGATAAGAAAAGTTGTATTACCTCAAGATCATCCAGATTAAGGCCAGCTTTGGTATCGAGTTTCCCAGAGGGAATGATATCTGCCTTTGACATTTGATCTTTGAAGAAACGCAGCTTCCGTGCCAATTCTGCGCATCTTTTAATCTTCACAAAAGAAGCAAGTTAAAATACAGATCCAATAAATAAAAGTTTCAAGAAGTAAACCAATGTCAAAGCTTACAATTTCCAAACTTCAATTGCAAATGCCAAATTCTATTCCTAATTTAAGACTCAAAGGGTAATGAGTAGTCAAGTGTTCAAAGGAAGATTAAAACTCACCTGGCCTGCATATGTTCTCTGAAAAGGGCTTTTCTCTACGTTCAGCTGTAGATACCAATAACATTAAGATTAGACCTATATTAGAAACCAAATTCACAAAACAAGAAGATACACTAAAAGGTAAAGTTTGAAAAGTATAAAAAGCTCTTCTAGATTTGTTCTTTTTTATTATTATGCTAGTGGAATCAAGCATTATCTCTCAATCAAACCTTTATCGACTATATATATATGCCATCAAAGCCCTTTCTGAGATAACTAACTTCATTTTTATTCACTGGCTTATTCCGCTAACCTAAAAGAAATTGTGGAGTAACGAATCAAACGTCTATTTCAGCTATTCATAGATCGCTATAACATATAACTTGCTAAAAACCAAAAGATCAAATCGAAAAAAAAAAAATCAGGATGCTGAATTCAGCCAACCAACCCTAACTTTCAGCTCGATCAATCAATACCACTCACGTAAAACGTAGCAACACCCTACTTGTAATAAATCAACTAACATCCAAACCTCAGTTTGCAAATCACTACTAGCTAAACTCACGATGCACCAAGAATTCACAACAATTACATCAATAACAACAATGATCTGTAAAAATTATAATCGCAGGTATAGAGAGAGTAAGTGCTGACGTCTTTGAATTGAATGAGGCCGATATCTCCAAGATAAGAGACGGTCAAGCGAGCAGACTCGATTGGAATGATGACTTGTATTAAGTGCATCGGCTCTGAACGGAACAGATCCATCGGCGGACAACATCCGCCTCCGCCGCCGTGCTCCGCCATCTGTAGACTTTCGATTGCGATCAGAATCGTTCGTCGAGATCGATCAGTATCTCGGCAGCAGAGAAACAAGATGAACCCAGAGTCTCTGTATTACCGCCTCTATGTTTTCACAGCAGCCACGTTCTTCCGATTGATATTTTATTTTTTCTGTTTTTTTTTTTTTTTTTTTCTTTCTAAAAAAAGTAAAATAATAATTGGGCTATAATTTACAGCGAATAGGTCCCTATTGGCTGTTTTATATTTTAATAGTTTCGGAATATACACGTGTATGTCATGAATTACACATAACACGGGTGTTTGCGTAAGTGTTTTGTTTGTTATGTTCATATAAATATTAATAGGTTTTATATATTCTAATAATAATATATTTATGTTTATTGGATAATCGGTTTTATATCATGCTAAAGTTAGTGGGCTCGGTATGGGCACAAGCCGCACAACATGCTGATATGGCTAGGCAAACACCCGATGCTCACAATGTTGGGTTTTTATGTTGTTGTGATTGCATGTAGTTGTAACTTGTAAGGATTTAACACGTTAGGTCTATGATAAAACAAATTTCATCATCAAATATTAAATAAAGTTATCTATTATTTTTTCATATTACCTTTATTTTGTTGTTTGGCAAAAAGTTGTTTTCTCATAAGAAAGTCTTTTAGTTTACTAAATATCATATCATTATAACTTCAAGTAATAGAACTGAATTCAAACAAAACCATCGAGATTAAACAATTCATAGCCAACAGAAGAAAAAACGAACAAGAAAATCATACCAAAAAATGCTAATTTTTCTAATAAAAGGATTGTATAGAACTCTAATACCATATGAGCTAATAAAATAGTATCATGTGAGCTAATAAAACAATAGAGAGAAACATTGTTAGGATTTCATTATCGAGAAAATGTATACTACAAGGAACATAAAAGACAATTATAAATAGGAAAACAATCTACAGTTAACCTAGATAAAAGGTTAAAAAGACGTAATGCTAAAAGAGCCCGATAAATTTATTAGGCAGACAATTAATAGGAGTTTCCATGCTTTCAAAGCCAAGTAGAAATCTGTAAATGTTTATTACAGACTCATGTGCTAATAACCCTTTGTATTGTACCATGTAATTCTAGTTTCTTGTTTTTCATTTGAATATAAAAAAATAAGTAGATGGTCTAGAGAATGCTTGATTTAGTTATACTAATCATCTTCAAATAGTGATGGTTGATCACGTTTTCGACAAAAATGATACATTGGAAGAATCCGTTGGGTCTTCCAATATCAATAGGTCGATTGTTTCGCTCCTGTATCTTCCAAAAGGAAAAAAGATCTATGAGAGTTCTTTCCTGAATCCGAAAGAGAGTACTTGGGTTCTCCCAATCACTAAAAAGTGTAGCATGCCTGAATCCAACTGGGGTTCGCGGTGGTGGAGGGATTGGATCGGAAAAAAGAGGGATTCTAGTTGTAAGATATCTAAGAAACCATCGCTGGAATTGAGATCTTATTGAAAGAGAAAGATCTCAAATATTTGTAGTTTTTATTTGTATATTATAGGGATGATCCGATAATAAACTCTTCATGGCTCCTACTGACATTATGTTAGATGAAGGTGTCTAAGCTCATAACTAAATCGGTATATACTTGTAATTAGAAACAAAGTCATTTTGGGGTCCCCTCATAACTACAACTTGGTTAGAATGACATTTGTAGAATATATATATATATATATATATATATATATATATATATATATATATATATATATATATATATATATATATATAAAAAGATTATTATATGATTAGTAAATTATAATAAATAATTTGTTAATATATTATATGATTAATATATTAATTGAAAATATTAATAATTAATTAAGATTTAATCAGAAATTAATTGGAATAAATTTTTTGGATTAATTAGTATTAATTAAAGGTGCATGGGGTAAGCTAAAATTGTTCAAAAGTTGAACAAATAAAGGGTTCCAGAACCTTCCCATGGGGGACGGTTTTGGGATGCCATAATAAGGCATTCTGGAAGCCTCCTTATAATTAGGTGTAACATCCCGATGACGAGGTAATTTCAATTTTAATCCTATGTAGGAAGAAATATTGCATTTTTGCCCTTGTGCATGAGAAGGATTGAAAAATAGCCCACATCGGCATTTTGGTATTTTGGTTGAGGCTTAGTATGTTGGATGTACATTTCATACGCAAGGCGTACATGCGAGAACTTTGTACGTTGGTCGTACATCACGTATGCAGGGCATACGTGCGAGGTTGTCAAACCCTAAATTTTAGGGTTTGGACCCTATTTAAACATCTTTTTGGCCCCAAGACCTTTACCCTCATTAGCCTCCACCTAAAAACCGTCCCTCCATCTAACCCTAAGTATGAAGAGTGCACCTTGAGCTCATTTGTGTGTTTTGGTGGTGTTCTTGAAGAAGAAGAAGAAGAATGTAACATTCGAGATTTAGTATGATTCCTTTTAACCCCTTAATGTAAATTTCTATCATTCTGGTTCCTAGCTAGTACACAGCGCGTACTCTATGAGTACACTTAGCGTACTAGCTTATCTCAGGTTTGCGGGTTCACCCACGTACACGGGGCGTACGTGGAGTACGCATGGTATACGTAATGCAGGGGAAAAACCTAATTTTTAGGATTTGTGCCATATTTAAGCAACTTATAACACCCTTGGACCCTCTATTGATAAGCCTCCACTCCACTATACCCTAAGATCGAAACCCTAGCCTCCCATAGTGTGTTCTTGAGCTTTGGATGTAATTTTGTGTTGTTTTGGTGTGCATTGAAGAAGGTGGTGCTTAGTGATCAAGCTTTGGTTGGACTTAAGGTTGTAGATCCAGATTCTTCATTAAGTTTGCTAGCTCTAGAAGGTATAAAGTTCTTATATTGGAACCTCTTTGTGTTAGATTGAGATTAGAGCTTGGTTTTGAGCTTATGGTCTTTTGGGTTCTCTATGGGAGTTTGAGTCACTCCATGAGCTAGGATGCTAGACCTTAGCCCCTCTGATGTTCCTTGTGTAAAAAGGTGCCATCTTGATGAATCATATTGGTCCACGCATGAGTTAGAGTCCTTATTATGGGTCTTAATGGACAAAATCAGGTTTTGGGTCCCATTAAGACATCCAAGGTGATAAAGTTGCAAACTTTATGCATTAATACCTTGAAGTGAAGTAGATCTGAGATTTGGACATTAAGAGTTTTAGTGGTTAAGACAAAACTGGACAAATGGGGCTTTGGCCGGTACGCGAGGCGTAATCACTGGTATGTTGCGCGTACTGGGTTAGCTACCTGATTTCGAGTCAACACTCGTACACCGTGCGTACGAGGAATACATCAAGCATACGAGGTGAAGTGGGTTTTCTTCGTTTGGGGCTTTTGGGCTCGGGATTATTTAGGCTTTTAAGGTTTAGGCCTTGTTGGGCCATTGGACTTTTGAACTTGGGCCATGGATGGACTATGGGCCTGCTTAGGATTAGGTTCATGATGATTGTGGGCTCAATATTTAATTAAGGATCTTGGAATCCTTAAATATTTTCTTGGAATAAAGGTAATAAATTTTGATGATGGTTTATGTTTAAATCAAAGAAAGTATTGTCTGGAATTATTGCATGAGTATGGGATGCTTGGTTGTAAACCTATAAGTACACATTTGGAAACAAACTTTATTGTAAGTTCAGGTGATATTGATGAAAAAGATAGATTGTTTGAAAATAAAACAAAATTTCAAAAGTTGATAGGTAAACTTATTTATCTTACAATTACAAGACCTAATATTTCTTATGCAGTTTAGGTTCTTAGTCAATATATGCACAAACCAAGAAAATCTCATTTAAACATTGCTTTCGGATTGTTGAGATATTTGAAAATTAGCCTTGGAAAAGGAGTTGCTTTAACTAAGTCAAGTGTGTTTGAATTAAAAGGTTTTGTTGATGCAGACCGGGCTAAGTGTTTAGCCACAAGGAGGTATGTATCATATTATATGGTTTATCTTAATAATTGTTTGATTTCTTGGAAGAGTAAGAAACAGTCTACTTTTTCTAGGTCTTCTACTGAATCAGAGTATAGAGCTCTTGGTTCTATTACTTGTGAAATAATTTGGGTCTTAAAGATTTTGTTTGAACAAAAGTTAAAAATCTTATTCCTGTTTCTATTTTTTGTGATAATGATTCAACGATTAAGTTAGCTCTTAATCCTGTATTTCATGAAATGACAAAACATTTTGAAATTGATCTACATTTTGTAAGAGAAAAAATTGCTAGTGGTGTATTGAAATTGGTTAAAATAGATTCTTCTGAACAAAATGTTGATATTCTTATGAAGTCTTTGAGTGTAAAACAACATGATTTTTTAATAAATAAAATGGGTCTTATTGATGTTTTCAGAAAAGGAAAATAAATATTTCGATTGAGGGGATGTTGAAAATATATTATCCTTGCAATCTCATATTTATTATTTGAAATAAAATGTGATATATAGTTGAAGGGTATTTTGTGTAAAGAGTGTATTTATGACGTTTCGTTTCTTGTTCGTTCATCATTTGGTATCGGAGCCTTAGTTTGGAAATTCGGGCATACTATCAGGTGTGTTTGAACTCAAACTGAGGGTTTGGTAAAATTTTCAGAAAGAAATGTTTTATAAAAGAATTTTCTAATAAAATAATAAGGGTGTGGTAAATGCAATCGACCGAGGTCAAATAAGTTTTCCAAAAATACCTATACATGTTTTGTGATATGCTTTGATGTGTGAATCTGTGAATCGGGTGCTAGTTAGGGCTGAGGATCTGCTCAAGATTTGCATGATATAATGCTAGGAGAGATGTCTTTATATATCTACTGTGTTATTATTATTATTATTATTATTATTATTATTATTATTATTATTATTATTGTTATAAAATGTTCAAGTTAATTAGATTATATATTAATTCAGAGATAAAGATATCAAAAACTTCCCAGATTGGGTGATTAAAGGCGCTACCTTAATGTTGCCCATTTTCTTTAACATCACTTCCATTTATCTTATGAGTGTGTCAAGTCAGATGT